TTTTATTATACTATATATTTTTATTATGGCTGATATCTAAGTATATACTTTTTGACATACTGTTCACCTTCTGAGAACCTCCTGGAATACATATTATTTCAGATTCTTTAAAATTAAGGATTTACGACCGGTTTGTGAACATTGTGCGAGGCCCGACTCAATGAATATTCATTAAACGGACATGCATATACAAAGAAACAAATGCATATCTATCTGGACATGCACATCTACGGTACAGATGGATAAATGAATGTAATTATATCTGATATACATACAGTTATCAACCAATGTATAGGCATGTCTTTTTTTTTTTTTTTTTTTTATGAATTGGATCGGGCCTTGCACAATTTTAGCAAACCGGCCGTTAGTATCTGTAGTTATGTTTAAGTATATACTTTCTCATTAATTGATTTGAGTCGCTAAATAAATGGTCGACAAAGACCTGAACTGGATGATATTGGCTGAAGACTTGTTAAGCTAATCAAAACAACAAATTAGTTATACGTCACTAAGATTTTTGTTGTAATACTGGCGATATATCATTGTTGTTGTTATCTGTATGATACATACAGCCGGTTTCTATATGCATACGAACATAGTCTAATATTTCTTGGTGTTGTATTCGCGATCACACTACACGCATACAAGCAACACACACTCCACACACGAATGTGGTCGGGTGTGTGGTGTGTGTTGTGTTTCATGGGTGTGTGTTTGTGCATGGCGGCACTTCCCGACACACACAGCTATCGTACCCAACGTACAGCACACGCACACTAGTGTGTGGTTGACCGTGTCTCGAAGAAACATAAACACAGAATACACATACAAATATATAGATCATGACTTATAGTAGGGCTCAGGTGACACGTTAAGTTTCGTATTACTATATGAAGATCATATAGTATATCGATGTATGTATCAATTACACGCACATACAGAAACAACAAAAAACAAAAATTGATATCAACGCACAGGAAAGATTATTGATTGGATCGATAACCGAATCGTTATTGGTGTCTATGGCAGTGTATTACTGATGCAACTGATGGCCAGACACCACCAACTCATACTCAACACGACACACACGCAAACACACTATACAATAATAATAAAAATCTATAAGTATTATTGTAACGTATAATTATATATATATTATAATTTATTA